AAAATCTTCTATCTTGAGTTCCTCCGTGCTTCGGAAGGCACGTTAAGCCGTTGGTCCCGGCTGCTTCGATTGGTTATATTTTTTTATATTTTGACTGTTGGTTTGATTCTGTGCTCCTATGTCTTCCTTTTTTGCGATAACTTGGGTTTCAAAGAAACTAGAAGCCCTCTAAAATGCCATAAATAAACATTTTTTATCACCACTAAAGAGTTTGAATTTGGAGAGTCAATAATTATTCACAAAAAAAGCAATACATATAGTCGAACCACGATAACTTTGCAATAATCTGGTCACACCCAAAAACACTTGATATGAAGGGATGCCCTTCCATTCAAAAATGACATATATGTCATGTCATGCAAGAATCTTTCATTTAGAGAACATTTTTTTGATTTTTATGTGGCGTGAATAAACATGAGAAATTCGAGCAGTTATTTATTAAATAATAATAAGTTATAATAAATCTGCAAAAGATCAAACTGAGTCGGTTCTTATGAAAAAAGAGCAATGTTTTGAAGATAATATCTAACCTCAACTAGTGAGTTGCAATTAATTTCTTGATACTAGTTTGTTTTTGTATTACAGTAATACAAGTTATTTACGGGATTGTTACCATGTACCTTGTTTTTAGCGAGTTACCGAAGTTTCGGCTCTGTTGCAAGCGCCATGATCACGGAGTAACTGAAGTAATTGCGGGTAGGCTGTTATTGGCAGACATATCGGTCTACCCTCCGACGAAGTCTTCCGACGCGTTCGATACCCGTACCACTGTTCACATTCTCACTATTCACTCGAAACTGTTCTCGACACACAACAATTACAGCATCCGATCGCGACACGACACTTTTTTAATTAGTTCTGTTTTTACACATACGAACCAAATCTGCAAAAGATCAAACGGAGTCGGTTCTTATGAAAAAAGAGCAATGTTATGAAGATAATATCTAACCTCAACTAGTGAGTTGCAATTAATTTCTTGATACTAGTTTGTTTTTGTATTATAGTAATACAAGTTATTTACGGGATTGTTACCATGCACCTTGTTTTTAGCGAGTTACCGATATTTCAGCTCTGTTGCAAGCGCCATAATCACGGAGTAACTGAAGTAATTGCGGGTAAGCTGTTATTGGCAGACATATCGGTCTACCCTCCGACGAAGTCTTTTATTGCGTTCGATACCCGTACCACTGTTCACATTCTCACTATTCACTCGAAATTGTTCTCGACACACAACACTTACAGTATCGGATCGCGACACGACACTTTTTTGATTAGTTCCGGTTTTACACATACGAACCACAGGATTCCAGACACTCGACTATTTAAACGATTGAAATTTTTATGTTTTGTTATTTCAATCGCTTCCCTGACCAATCTTGATATGTATTGGCGTTCTGTCGAGATAATCTGTGAGTTATGAAACTCAATCCAGTGGTTAGGACCAGAATCAATCAAATGTTCCGCGATGGCTGATTTCTGCGTATCGTTGTTCTTGATTGCTTTTATGTGTTCCCTCATTCGGCTTTATACTGTTCGCTTTGTTTGGCCAATGTACGAACTGCCACAGCTGCAATCGATCTTATAGACACCAGGTTTCTCCAAGGGGAAGTTGTCTTTAGGAGACCGTGGGTATTGTGAAACCTTTCGTAAAGGAGTGAAGACAGTGTTTTGTGAGTACTTATTCAGTATATTTGAGATCTTGTCAGTCACTCCGTTGACATATGGCAAATAAACAGGTTGTCTGTCTACTCTGTGTCTCTGGTGTCTTAGTTTGTGTCTAGATGAAAAATGTCGCTGGTATTCATTACTCTGTAAGACTAGTCGTACATGCTCCAACTCAGTGTCAATAAATGTTACTTAAACGATACTCAATTAAATTTCCTCTGAGAAAAAAACAATGTCTAAAAAAATATCGAGTAAGAATTCCCGGTGTTACCAGACTGATTACAAAATTTCACATTTCAACGTAAATTTTATTTGCTTTAACCACTACTTTTTAATTGAGTTGTATTACAATGCTTTCAAAGTTTGGGGAATAGCTACAGTAGAAGGACGTTTTATTGACACTTTTTTTGCTTATATGATTTTATATGCTTATGAGGAGCTCAATGGCGCGGGCGGTTTGCGCGTTCGGCTGCGATTGTTGAGGTTAAGCAACAGTTTCTGTGGTCGGTCATTGGATAGGTGACCAAAAAAAAAGCTAGCTGTCAATGTCAAATACGTAGGTTTGTCAATATAACCTCTATATGTAGCCGGGTCGTCAAGAGAATTAACGGATAAAAAGGCAATCACAGCAGAGAACATTCACAATCACAGTTCGCGGGAGCGGATGCGAAATACGAATGATTTTTATGTTTGTATTTTAGGATTGTCAAATTGACATTTGGATTTTTATTTAGAAAAAGCAAAGGAATAATGGTTTTTACAGTCACTTGAGTAATATTTTGAAGTAAAATTCTGTCCCTTGAGGATTTAGGGTTTCCATATCAAAAAATATTAATCATTATATAACTTCTTTCCACGATTCACTAAAAATAAGCCAAAAGTAGTTTTATTTAGCAAATAATTTTGGTTTTATTTTGAGACCAAATTCAATTGTATACAAGTTTAGCATTTTTTCTATGAAAAGTGCCGGGTCTCCTTTGAATGTTTCATAATGCCTTTGCAAATTTCAGTCTCAATAAATGTTACTTAAACGATACTCAACTAAATTTCCTCTGAGAAAAATGTACAAAAAAAAAATGTCAAAAAAATATCCAGTGTAAGAATTCCCGGTGTAACCAGACTGATTACACAATTTCACATTTCAACGTAAAGGACAATGTTAAAATTGGCCTAAGAACCAACACCAACTTGGCATTTATGATCATTCTTAGTATATTTTTTGCGATATTTGTATTTAGATTGTGGCGGACACTTCCAGTTAAGTAAGCTAAATTAAAAAGTTAAAAAATAATCTAAGACAATAAATACCATTTAAATAGTTATAAATTTATGTGTATTATCTATGGCAGCGCTGCAAACAAAACACTCTTTCTTCCTAATGCCAGCACTTCACTTAGCTATTCGTATTTGCTATTTTAAAACATGACATCAGTCTGTCCTTTTCATTCCTTATTAAGCATGACAAGGACAAACTGTTGTCAAGTGTAGGGCCGGTATAAAACTTGTTACTCTGTGGTTGTGGTGCATGCAGTTTGCATTCGTAGTAATCTGTGGCATTCGTGCATTCCAAAGAGTATTAATAAACCGGAAAGTGCATTCTCGTTTCGGATTACCTGTTGTGTGTGTTTATTTGCGATTGTTTTTCCTTTAATTTAACTATTTCGGATATCTAATATGCCATTGATGTTACCAAAGAGCAGAGCCCTTATTACCAAGTGCTAGTGAACCTGTGCCACAACATCCTGAGAGGATCATACTGCCAAATTATTCAAGAACACTTGATACACATTGACGCTGCATATTTACACAATATAGCTACAAGTGATATACAAATAAATACAATAAACAATATGATACAATTATGTGAAAAATAGTCAATAAATAAGAAGCAAAGCTACAGATTTTATTCACGATTCCTGCCTAGCCAAGTTTTTCCTAATAGTTATTCTTTAAAATCGCACCGAATAAAATGAATTAGTTGTAATATTAATTCACTTCATACTGAGTTTATACTAAATTCATAGGTTAACCTATGTTTCATTGAATATTAAACATAACCTCAAAAAAATTTTAGTTTTCCTAATAATTTAAGTTCTCAGAAGTGTCCGTCAATAATCTTTGTTTTTACAGTAATTAACTTACGATTTTGAACCTAGAAAATAATATTTCATGATTGTTGGTTCTTAGGCTAACAATGTATGGACGCAGAACAATGTCCTTTTATTTGCTTTAACCACTACTCTTTGATAGGGATGATGACTATTTTTATTTTTCTTATTTATCAGGTAGATTATCAAAAAGTATTTGACACGTATTTTTTCTTTTTTCACATAATATAAACATTGCAGAGATATATTGATTTGAAAAGTCGCACGTTTGAGTACACTTATAAGTGAAAATTCACTCAAAAGTCACGTCACGAGCCCCTACTCCCAAACTTTGACGCGCTATAACTTTGTCATTTTTTGGTTGATTGCTCAAAGAAAAAATACATGTCCATTATTTTTTGATCATCTAACTGACGGACTAAATAGAATTTCGTTTACCCCGTCCTCACCCCTACTGTTTTCGTGAGCTCGCACTCGTATTAAGGGTACTGATTTTATTGTTTTCGTTTCAATACAAATAAACAGTGTTTAAATTCTATGATTTAATCATTTGCGTCTTCTTAAATTCTATGTATATTTGGTTAGTTTTCACCAAAATGTACATAGAAACATAATTTACAATAGGGTATTTGACAAGTTTTAGAAAACGATCTCACGTTATTTACTTATTGAAGTTATACTTCTTTAGGCGCGTTATGAAAAAATGATGAGAGTGAAATTTTTAGATGCACGCGCATCACTGTAACACAATAGTAACACCATGAAGTTGGCCGCGGGCGCGTTATGAATGTTAGTGTTCGAAAGGTACTTTGAACGATCCACGGAGCGCCATAAGATGATCGCGTTGTCAAAAACAATGTTGGCACGCTCGTCGCCTCTGATCACTGTTTTCATATTTATAATATTTATCCACATGTTTCTAGTTTCTATATAGACACAACGTGTTTTAGTTACTTACAAGTGCTAATTACATAATATGGACTAATAACTTAAATTCAGTAGTGATTTTAATTGAATATTTTGAATATTTATTTAATTTTTCAAATTAAAACTGAACTTAATTGACTGTGTAAACTATCCTTTTCCAGTCCTTTTATTATTTTATTGTAATTATTAATTATTGCAAATAAAAAATATTTTTAATGATGCTAAAGAAGTATAACTTCTCACGCGCGTACATAAGTTACACGCAACCATTTTTTTTAATAGAAAAATCACACATTACAGACAACGTAAGCACAGCACAGTAGAGCTATACAAGTGTCCCCATTGCCCGCAACGTTTCGGTACATTCACCAGGCGTGCGGTACATTTGGCGGCAGAACATCAGTTCTCGACCGGCAAATACGTCTGCAAGCTGTGCAATAGGAGTTTCCTTATATCGGGTGAGTTTTAAAAATGTATCTGCAGTTATGTTTTTAATTATTGATATTATACTTCTTTAGGCGCGTTATGAAAAAATGATGAGAGTGAAATTTTAAGATGCGCGCGCATCACTGTAACACAAAAATTAACAGCATGAAGTTGGTCGCTTTAGCAACTTCATGCGTTACTTTTGTGTTTACCGCACATTAAGAAAATCTACCAACAAAATAGAAATAGAATCTCTATTTAGTGGGTGCTAACGACTGCATTGTGAAGGCCTATCAAAAGTATTTATTAATCTGGAACAACGGAACCAAAGCGCGATTCAGGAGACTACAGCGCCATCTCTTGATCATTGGTGTAGTAGAACCAAAAACCAAATCTTTATTTTTTGTAATAAAGTAACAGTTATAGGTATTCATATTTATAATATTTATCCACATGTTTCTAGTTTGTATATTCGGAATACGTGTTTCATACAAGTGCAAATCACATATGTTCTAATAAATTATATTCAGTAGCGATTTTAATTGAATATTTTGATTATTTATTTATTTTTTCAAATTAAAACTGAACTTTATTGACTGTGTCCTTTTCCAGACTTTTTATTAATTTATTGTAATTAATTATTTGCATGCAATTAAAAACTAATTTTAAACGATTCCAAAGAAGGATAACTTCTCACGCGCCTACATAAGTACACGCACCCATTTTTTTTAAGCATTTAACTGCTAGATGTTTAAATCTAAAGAAAAGTTTACTAGAAAAAAATCCACGTGGACCAGGCAGCGGATATACATAACTGTAATTGCTATTTCTTCTTTCAAATGTTTTTAATACTTGAAAAAGTATTCATTTGACATTGTGGGTTACCTACAATGCGAAGAGATGGCGCTGCTTTGCAGCTGAAAGCTAGGAAAATTTCGACGCGGCGAATAGGGCCGTGGTAGCATAATGGTCAGTGCATTCGCCCGGATTGCGAAGGGTGCGGGTTCGAGTCCCGTCCGCTGCCTGGACCGCGTGGTTTTTTTTCTAGTAAACTTTTCTTTAGATTTATGTATCTGCAGTGTTATTTCGGGTATTAAACTGCGATATTTTAATAAATTCACACCTCAGAACAAGAACTGAAGTTTAGAAAGTTTAAATTCAACTTGTATATAGTTTAAATGTAAAGAAAATTTTACTAGAAAAAGTTCCACGCGGACCAGGCGGCAGACTGTCCAGTCTGCGAACCCGCACCCTTCGCTATCGGGACGAATGCAGTGACCATTATTCTACCGCGGCCCTAATGGTCGTGTCGAATATTCTCTAGCCTTTCTTAGGCTGCAAGGGTGCTGTGCGAGCCCTGTCTGCTTGGAATTTCTACTAATAAATTTTTCTTTACATTCAAACATCTAGCTTATTTAAGAAAAGAAGTTTCACATCAGATGTGTGTTTCGGGCACACTTTTTCGTTTATATTAACTACTAGCGGTGTTGTCTTTCAGTTTTGTGCGTAGAATGGAACGCACCACGATATGAAACGACTGAACTCACTGTGTGGCAGGATGTTTCCTAAGGCTGTATGGACTAAAGTTCTTTGCGTTCCACCAATCAGAACAACTGAATCAGATTAAACAGCCTGTCAGCTCATTTTCGTTTAATTTTCCATTCGGAAAATGTATTTATTCAATTAAAATAATTAACTATAACAAAATATGTAACGTTTTAATTTATGAGCAACGAAAGAATTTAGGTAATAAGTTAAGTAGGTACATATAAATTTCTATATTTAGGGGATTTTAGGGGAATTTAAAAAATACTTAGGGTAATTTTTTGGTAAGGGTTGGTAACACTGCCGCGACTTCGTACGCGTGGAGTTAGAAATAAAGGTTCACTGCTCATTCCCCGTAGGTGATAGCGTGATAATATGTAGCCTATAATGTTCACCCGACTTCTTAATAATATTAAATAAATAAATATTTCCAACACTCACACCAAATAGCCTAGCCCCGAAGTAAGATCTATAAGGCTTGCGTTATGGGATACTAGGGTAACGGATAGAATACACATACTGTACATATTATATAATTATATTTATATAAAAAAAACATATAAAACATCTATGACTGGAGTAAAAATGCTCGTATTTATCGCACAAACATCTGCCCCCACCGGGATTTGAACCCAGGACTTCTCGAATCGGCGAAACCATGAAACCCGGCGTACAAACCACTCGGCCACCGAGGCCGTCAATTTGAACTAAATCCATGCAGTACTTTTTGAGTTTATCCCGGACATCCATACAAACAGACAAAAATTCTAATAAAAACTATATATATTTTTGGCTTCGGTATCGATCGGTATCGGATCACACCGCAAGTATTATTTAAAAAAATATTCAATGTGAGCATAAACAAAAAAAAAATCAATATTTTGGTCCTTATTTTAATTTTTTTGGTAATATTTAGTAATGGTTTATTGTAATATTGATAAAAATGCACTCGGAAATACTTTTTGTTTTGTAATTTCCTTCGATAGATTGTAAATTGTGGATATTTTTGTCTCATTTTAATTTTCCTCTGTAGTAATAATACGGTTTGTTTTAATTTTTTACATTGATAGGAACACTGTTTCATATTATACGAGAATGGGCGTTAATTTTGCAACACAGTTTTTGTAAAACTAAACCAGATTTAACGATTCATAATTTTATGTACATTGCACTTGTTCCAAATAAAGTTATTATTATTATAATGTACAGTTTTGACTTTCCTACCATTTTATTATATGTATAGATTTATATATTGGTTCGTACCTTATTAGGTAACCTCAGCGCCCACATGCGTCGCGCGCACGCGTCCGTCCGTCCGTCGCGCGTGCCGCTCGCCACGTACAAGGACGTCAAACCTCACCGGTGCACGCTGTGCCCCAACAAGTACGTGGATATTGTCATAATGTGTTCATTTCAGGACGACTTAAAGAGTCCTTTTACATTTTTTGCAAGAAATCGTAATTTTTGAACGCTTTCTTTTTTGAGCAGCTCGATGGCGCAAGTGGTTAGCGCGTTCGACTGCGATCGTTGGAAGTTAAGCAACTTTCGCATTAGTCTGTCATTGGATGGGTGACCAAATATTTACTATTTTGAGCTCCTCCGTGCTTAGGAAGGCACGTTAAACCGTTGTTCCCGGCTGCATCCGCAGTCGTTAGCACCCACCAATCCGCACTGGACCCGCATGGTGGGTCATAGCCCAATCTCCCTATTCTATCCTTAGGGAAGGCCTGTGCCCCAGCAGTGGGGACATTAATAGGCTGATGATGATGATGATGACTTTACCCGCTTTGAAATGATTTTGATATTTTTGATACATGTGAGAAGTAGATTTATCTTTCTTATTGTAAGTTAATATAGAATATTTGTAAATATTCTTATCGTTTTGAAGTTATACTTCTTTAGGCGCGTTATGAAAAAATGATGAGAGTGAAATTTTAAGATGCGCGCGCATCACTGTAACACAAAATTTTAACAGCATGAAGTTGGTCGCTTTAGCGACCAACTTCATGCTGTTACTTTTGTGTTTACCGCACATTAAGAAAATCTACCAACAAAATAGAAATAGAATCTCTATTTAGTGGGTGCTAACGACTGCATTGTGAAGGCCTATCAAAAGTATTTATTAATCTGGAACAACGGAACCAAAGCGCGATTCAGGAGACTACAGCGCCATCTCTTGACCATTGGTGTAGTAGAATCAAAAACCACATCTTTATTTTTTGTAATAAAGTAACAGTTATAGGTATTCATATTTATAATATTTATCCACATGTTTCTAGTTTGTATATTCGGATTACGTGTTTGAGTTTCATACAAGTGCAAATCACATATGTTCTAATAAATTATATTCAGTAGCGATTTTAATTGAATATTTTGATTATTTATTTATTTTTTCAAATTAAAACTGAACTTTATTGACTGTGTCCTTTTCCAGACTTTTTATTAATTTATTGTAATTAATAATTTGCATGCAATTAAAAACTAATTTTAAACGATGCCAAAGAAGGATAACTTCTCAAGCGCCTACATATGTACACGCACCCATTTTTTTGTACTGTACCCCTAACACGAACCACTATCGAATTCGGATAGTTTGCGAGTGCGAAATGTCAATGTCAAATTTTGTACGGAAACTTGAACAGCAGCGCCACAAAGTACGTAACGAAAACTGAAAATCGGTACACATTTGACATTTCGATATTGGTTCGTGCTAAGTGTACTGATCGTTCTACCTGTTAACGGGAAAAAACGATGAAATGCACAACTTCAACCGCCTAAGGTATAACTTCAACCGCCTAAGTCTATAAATTAGATTGAATAAAGAACAGGCGAACTTTCTTCATCTGAATCACCAATGCTAAACGATCGTCAGATTTTTTAATAACAGTCAAAAATTTTACGCGACTTGCTTAAGTGAACGTAAAAATTTGTAGAGATATAATAAAAGTTTCACTTTAAAAATAGGGAATACGACTTGAAAAAAAGGAACATCTTCATCCTTGTATTAATCGCATTCAGGAGCCATCTTAGTGTGTCTCAAATTAAATTGCATTTTTTTACACTTGTTGAATAACTTGTTATTTGTATACTAAAGTATCAAATTGGTACGGCGCCCTATACTGAACATAGTCCCGTCTATGTCTTGCTCGGGCATGCTCGCCGCCTTATTTACCTAAATTACAGCAACGGTTTTTTTTTGAGTGTGTATGCTGTTGGTCGCAGATGACCTTTACAGCGTCACCGGGTTTGGGGACGGCGAGATCCTAAGGGGACCTCAAGCCGAGAATTGGCGAGTGCCTGTAGAGGTATTCCAGGCGGATGGCGTCTCCCCACGGGGGGAGTCTTCTCTCCGTCTGGAGCCTCTAGAGTCGAGGGGGTCGGCTCAACTAGAGGGCGTCTCTGAGACTCGGACCTCGGCTCTAGTTATCCGTTGTCGTGGGGGGCGGGGAAAAACGCCCATAGCGTGTCGTGTGTAGACCGGGTCTTCGCACTCTTGTCCTACGGGTGTGGCGGAATTTTGTGAAAGGGCTCTTAAGGCGTGTCTGCTGCGCAATGTTTTGAACAAACATTGTTCTTGAACATTGTCCGCTGCGACTTTAGCAATGATTAGTAAACAAAGTTTTTTCACAAAACTAAAAAAATGAGCAGCGACGAGGAAGCCGTGAACATTGGATGGAATAGGGGTGATGACGGGGTACAGTAAACGAAATTCTATTTAGTACGTCAGTTAGATGATCAAAAAATAATGGACACGTAATTTTTCATTGGGCAATCAACCAAAAACTGACAAAGTTATAGCGCGTCAAAGTTTGGGAGTAGGGGCTCGTGACGTCACTTTTGAGTGAATTTTCAGTTATAAGTGTACTCAAACGTGACGTCATGCGACTTTTCTAATCAATATATCTGCAATCTATATATTATGTGAAAAAAGAAAAAATACGTGTCCAATACCTGATAAACGAAGAAAAAAAAAATAGTCATCATCCCTATTGTGATCTAAGGCTCAACCATTTTGTGCTCATAGTGTTCAGAAAAATACCCATAACCTCCGTCACTTCTGTGACGGCATCTAATTTTTTTGTTTTATTCTTATTTAAAGTTACATCTTTCTTTCACGTATCCAACATGATTAATTCCAGTGTTATCTCGGAATACCACTCCATTATCAGAACACGTCTTCCTATGCCAAAATCAAAAACATAAAATTTAAGATTCCCTCCCACCGCAGATGAATGCGGAGGATGTTTCCTCCTGCTGGCCTTCGTTGTCACCGTCTAACTGTGGCCACAATTCCAACGCGTACAAAGAAATTTGGTGACTCATTTCTTTGTCGCACTATCCGTAAATGGAATGCCCTGCCCGCTCACGTGTTCCCTCCCTCTTACAACCTGGGATCCTTTAAAAGAGGCGTGAAGAAGCAACATGCAGGCCGGCAGGGTGAGGATGGCTGGTGTGGCAGGTAGAACTGCTGTTCCAACTATCTTCTCGTCTGGACTTCACTGTCACTTAACATCAGGTGGTGGTGGTTTTTTTTATAGATAAGTCCAAAATCATGGGATAGGTTGAACCATGGGTCCATGGGATAGGTTGATTCCTATAAATAAAATAAATGTGTATGTTTGTATGTGTCATGCAATCACCAACGATATTAAATACCCTAGATACACCAACACGAACAAAATCATGCCCGAAACCTGTCCACAAGTACATTGGACGATCCACGGAGCTCCGTAAGATGATCGCGTAGTCTAAACAATGGGTGTGTTCCGTAATATAAACCAGTATACTGGCCAGTGCTAATGACGTCAAGAATCGACGCCATGCTGTTGATTCGTTCCAAAATTTCCAAATACACTGATCAGCATATTCAAGCAGTCTCGTGTTTGTGTGCAACGTTCGTGCTCCAAAAATTATAATAAAGTGTGTAAATCCCGTTATTTCCCTCATCGTTCAAAACTATTTTTTCTGTTTGTTGAGATTCCATTATTATCAATTTAATACAAAAAAGACCTTCACTAACTGCAGAGCGTATACACCCAGCTATTATACGTCACAGTATTCTCACCAGCATAATATGGCGGCACACCAGTGCAATATGGCGTCGAAATCTTGACGTCATTACCGCTGGCCAGCGTACTGGCTTAAGTTTCGGAACACACCCAATATAAGGCATTATTTAAACATTGAATATCACCTTTAAAGCATACTGTATAAGGTCTTAATTAACACTTGTTTTCACGGAGCTCAGCGGCATGTTGACTTTTCAGCGGTCCGCGCGTGACTGAATCAAGAAGTGCTTGAGTGGTGTTCAAGCACTTGTTGATTGGGACACATTTTGAGCGCACGTGGTGTATCTAGGGTATTTAATATCTTTGGCAATCACACGAAAACAAATGAACAGATTTGCACGAATTTGGAACAAACACCCCCTCATTAATAAATGAAGATTAAGCTGGGATTAGTTACTCAATGTTTTGTCTCTGTCTATTGAATGACAAATGGCATTAGAGTGACATGAACAACACACGGCGTAACTAGTCTAATCTTATTCCTTGTTTATTAATAAGGGTCACAAAGTTTATGACATGGATTATGATTCTGAATTATGTGATTACTTTATATCCCGGTATTTTTTTTTTGTTACGTGCTTTATGTAAAAAAAATATATTATCATCATCATCAGACTATTAATGTCCCCACTGCTGGGGCACAGGCTTTCCCTATGGATGGAATAGGGAGATTGGGCCATGACCAACCACGCGGGCCCAGATCGGATTGGCGGGTGCTAACGACTGCAGATGCAGGCGGGATAAACGGCTTAACGTGCCTTCCGAAGCACGGAGCAACTAGAGAGAGAAGATTTTTGGTCACCCATCCAATGACCGGCCACTGCGAAAGTTGCTTAACTTCAACGATCGCAGCCGAACGCGCTAACCAACCACGCGCCATCAAGCTCCTCTGAATAAAATCTTATATGTATACTTTGGTACCAATTCTGGCGTGATTCTCTAAACTTAAAACTAAATTTAACATCAGTCTCTCCTTTTCATTCTGTATAGAGAATGACAAGGATATACTGCTGTCAAATTTAAGTTTAGGTTTAGAGAATCATGCTAGAATCGACACCTTTGTCTTAGTAAATGCACACATTTACTAATGAATATTTAAACATAACGTTATCTAAACATCTCAGTAATAGGGATGATGACTAATTTTTTTTCTTCGTTTATCAGGTAGATTATCAAAAAGTATTGGACACGTATTTTCTCTTTTTTCACATAATATAAACATTGCAGAGATTATATTAATAATAATAATAAATAAATATAAATATTTCCAACACTCACACCAATTAGCCTAGCCCCAAAGTAAGCACTGTAAGGCTTGTGTTATGGGATGCTAGGGTAACGGATAGAATACATATAACTGTACATATATAAGTATATTTATATAGAAATACATATTACACATCCATGACTGAAGTACAAATACTCGTATTCATCACACAAACATCTGCCCCCACCGGGATTCGAACCCGCGACCTCTCGAGTCGGCGACACCATGAAACCCGGCGTACAAACCACTCGGCCACGGAGGTCGTCATATTGATTTGAAAAGTCGCATTACGTCACGTTTGAGTACACTTATAAGTGAAAAACACTCAAAAGTGACGTCACGAGCCCCTACTCCCAAACTTTGACGCGCTATAACTTTGTCATTTTTTGGTTGATTGCCCAAGAGAAAAAATACGTTTCCATTATATTTTGATCATCTAACTGACGGACTAAATAGAATTTCGTTCACTGTACCGCGTCATCACCCCTATTACACTTTATTTAAATATTTTTGATGACCTACTTGGTCGAGTGGTATGTACGCCGGCTGTTTCAAGGTGTCGCCTACTCGAGAGGTTTCGGGTTCGAATCCCGGTGGGGGGCGGATGTTTGTGTGAATAATACGAACATTTGTACTCTAGCCATGGATGTTTAATATGTAGTTATAATTTTTATTTTTTTAAAGCATGTTTGTAACTGCTTGATGTTTAAATCTAAAGAAATTAGAAAAGGTAACATAATTGGTCAGTGCATTCGCCCGGATTGCGAAGGGTGCGGGTTCGAGTCCCGTCTGCTGCTTGGTCCGCGTGGAATTTTTTCTATAATAGTTATATTTTCTTTAGATTTAAACATCAAGCAGTTACATGCTTTAAAAAAATAAAAATTATAACTATAATTGCTATTTGTTCTTTCAAATGTTTAATACTTGTAAAAGTATTCATTTGACATTGTGGGTTACCTATAGTGCGAAGAGATGGCGCTGCCTTGCAGCTTAAGAATGGCTAGAGGAATTTCGACGCGGTCCGTGAGCGATTGCGAAGGGTGCGGGTTCGAGTCCCGTCTGCTGCCTGGTCCGCGTGGAATTTTTTCTAGTTATATTTTCTTTATGTTTATTATGTATTTCTATATAAATATACTTATGTATGTACAGTATATGTTAACGACGAAAGAGTTTCTAATATGATTTGTGGTGTTATTTTTCTGTGTCATATGTCATTATATCTTGTATCAATGTACTAAAATATTTCCGTAGAAAAATTCTATTTTTTCCTTGCACGACAAAACCAGCGCTCCAACGCTAATAAGTGGTCCTTCGAGCCGGATTATTATTATTGTATGTATTCTATCCGTTACCCTAGTATCTCATAACACAAGCTTTACTGTGCTTACTTTGGGGCAAGGCTAATTGGTGTGAGTGATGGAATTATTTAGTTATTTATTTATTTATTTACTACAACTTTTAACTTCCAGATATCCCCGCAAGAAGGCGCTAGTGGTACACATGCGCACGCACAACGACGACAGAAGGTTCGGCTGCGAAGTCTGCGGCAAGAGGTTCATACAGAAATGCACCTTATTGGTGCATGCTAAGACCCATAATCGCAAAGCACCAGACGACTCGAACGAAAACATTGACGCAGAGAAAGCGGAGTACACTTTTGTTAAATGGAGTGATGTTAATAAAAATTGACTTTTACAAGTTGTTTTATGATTTTTTTTTGATGTGTAATATCTTTCCTCTCGTTTTCCTGCAATTTGTAGGAATGATTTCGTGAAATAGGACGGAAGTGTGTAACAGGAAGTCGCGAAAGCGCCGGCTATTTGATTTGATTTTAGAACATAATGTTCAAATGGCTTATTCCTTTTGTAGTAGGTTTTTTTCTTTTTTTTACTAATATAAGGTGAGGTTTCAAATGTTACACATCATACGCGACTACTGTAAGGCTCGCTCGTTTTTATTGTATTGTACTACCACAAAGATTATCATACTAGTTATCCTAACTCATCAGCCTATTAATGTCCCCACTGACCTTCACTATGGATGGAATAGGGAGAGTGGGCCGTGACCCACCGTGAGCCCAATGCGGGTTGGTAAGTGCTGACGACTGTAGCCCTGATCAACGGCCTAACGTGCCTTCCGAAGCACGTGGGAGCTCAAGATAATAAGTGTTGAGGTTGCTAGGCAATGAATGAATAAAAGACTTGTCAATTTATTAATTTTACTGTGTGAATAATTTGTGGAGTTACAAATACATTTTCCTTTTATGTAGCCACCATTCTCTTTTATTTATACAATTAATGGAATCATTTCGGACCATAATAATCATAGAACCGGGTGCTCAACAAGTGGCGACCGTGACAGGACCTTAATATAATAAGATTTATAAATTATTAATTATTTATATAATAAGTTTTTGGTCACCCATCCAATGAGTGCAGATGCAGCCCTAATCATCGGCCTAAGGTGCCTTCCGAAGCACGTGGGAGCTTAAGATAATAAGTTTTGGTCACCCATCCAATAAGTGCAAATGCAACCCAGATACCGGCCCATCGTGCCTTCCGAAGCACGTGGGAGCTCAAGGTAATAATAAGTTTTGGACCCACATCCAATAAGTGCACATGCAGCCCTGATCAACGGCCTAACGTGCATTCCGAAGCACGTGGGCGCTCAACATAAAATATTCAAAATATTCAATATCGTTTATTCAGTCTAGGCTGTTACAAGCACTTGTGAATGTCGAAAAGCTACGCCATCGGTTCGCAAAACTACGGCGGGAGACCTTGTACTGAGAAGAACCGGCAAGAAACTCAGCAAGGGCTGCTTTTTTCTCCCTGTTTTATTTCATACAGTGTCGTCCAATTGAAAGTTGACATCAAACTTGCAAACATGTGTTGAGGGCAACTTCCATCACATAATGTCAAAAATGTAACAATCAATGAATTTACTAACAATAAGTGCAAAGATAAGTCCCAAAATAGCAAGAAACAATTCTCAAAACAAAATGAACAAGTATATGAAAGGGAGTAAGTGCAAGGTTCTCTTCAAAACTCTTTCTAAGGCTGGGAGCCTTAGTTTTAATATAACTTTTGAAAAATTATCTACAGGTAAAATTACAACTAGGCCGTTTTATCATTCAAATATTGATTGACAGTATAATATCCTTTCTTAAGTAAACAATTCTTAATGTGTATTTTAAATTTATGAGGAGGCAAATCAAGGATATCAATAGGAATCTTATTATAGAAATGTATACCTTGACCCATAAATGATTTATGAACCTTCTGTAACCTGTAATTTGGTATCTTGAGTTTATTTTTATTGCTTGTATTAAAAGAATGTATGTCACTGTGTTTTAGATAATAGTTAATATTGCTTCGAACAAAAAGTATGCAATTATAAATGAATTGAGAAGCAACAGTCAAAATCCCGATTTCTTTAAATTTTTCTCTAAGAGATGTTCTAGAACTAAGTTGATAAATAGCCCTTATAGCTCTTTTTTGCAAGATAAATATAGTTTCAATGTCGGCTGCTGATCCCCAGAGAATAATACCATAGGATACAATACTATGAAAGTAACTAAAGTATACAGTTCTAGCAGTAGCTACATCAGTAAGTTGTCTTATTTTACGTATGGCATAGGCTGCTGAACTAAGTTTACCAGCTAGCAGAGAAATATGAGGATACCATTGCAATTTCGAGTCTATGGTTATACCTAAGAATATCGTTGACTCAACTAAATCTAGGTTTTCATTGTTTAATTTAATTCTAATGGTTTCGCTTCTAACATTAGGTAAAGTGAATTTAATGCATTTGGTTTTATTTGCATTTAATTTTAAGTTATTTACATTAAACCAGTGCAATACTTGTGAGAGAGCATTATTTACATCGTCAAAGTTATTCTTGTATCGGTCAACCTTAAATAATAAAGAAGTATCATCAGCAAACAATACGATCTCACACAATTTTTCCACAAAAAATGGCAAATCGTTTATGTACAATAAAAAAAGAAACGGACCTAAAATCGATCCCTGGGGAACGCCCATTTTCACATAAGATCCAGATGACTTAACACCATTTACCTCTACAGTTTGAACTCTGGAACTGAGATACGATAGTAGCAAGTTTTGGGCTGCGCCTTTGATTCCATAGTGATTTAATTTTAACACCAGCGTCTGGTGCTCAACGCAGTCAAACGCCTTGGATAAGTCACAGAATACCCCAAGAACATTCTGCGACTTCTCCCAGGCTTCGATTATATGTCTAATAAGTGCAACACCCGCATCCGTTGTTGATCTACCCCTAGTAAAGCCAAATTGATTATTATGTAACAGTTTGTTCAAACTGACATGCGATAATAATTGATCTAAAATAATTTTTTCGAAAATTTTACTTAATACCGGTAATATTGATATAGGTCTGTAATTACCGGGATCATCTCTTATGCCGTTTTTGAAGAGAGGGATAACTTAACTATATTTCATAAGGTCTGGAAAATCACCTTGATCTTATTGAATATATCTGCAAGATAAGGAGCGATAACTGTTATTATACTTTTAGTAATTTTAATAGACATTCCAAACAAATCACACGTATTTTTCTTTTTAAGTGAGTTAAAGCATTTTATAATATCCATAAAATCAACATGTTTAAACGTAAACAGGTTATTACACCGAGGCACACACGTCTCTAGCAAACTCTTAGCACCCGCTGGCGTCGAATTCAAATTAGAAGTAGCAATTAATGGTATATTAACGAAATATTCATTAAAAGTATTGGCAATCTGTTCTTTTGTTTTAATTTGAATATTATCTACTTTAAGTGCGATCCCATCATCGAGGGTTCTTTCTTTACCAGTTTCTCTATTAATAACATTCCATGTCGTTTTAATTTAATATTTTTGGAGACCCAATGATCGACTATTGATTTTAATTTTCACGATCGTAGTCTGAATGCTGTAACCACCTACACCATCGAGTTTCTCGAGTACGTAAATATATTATTTAGGATAATTCCTAAATAACAAATTTGATATATGAATAATTATTACATTACACGGAACATGTATTACATACATATTCCGTTTCTTTGTACGATAGGGAATGTAAAAATTGTGTATCTAACAGAGATTTATATATTTGTTTCTTAGGTTAACATAAGAAGGAGATAGAAAGCCTCTCTGAGTTTGTTTCGCCGGTTCTTCTCAGAAAGGTCTCCTAATTTTGGAACCGGTGGTAGTTAGGGTCAAATAAATAAACTCAAAATTACAATATAGAATTTTAAATAAAGTACTTTATTAACTAAATTAACTAATAAATTCATACATAGCCAATAAAATTTTAAAAATCTTCCATTGAAATATTCGAACGCTCAATAAAAGTCTTTCGAAGGTAGCTCGACAAAGTAAATAAAAAATCATTATTCTGACGATGCAGACCTGAAAAGGCTGCGAAACGTCAATAAATAAATAGAATTCTTGCATTAATCCGTTAAAACTAGTTTTATTTAGAGATTTATATGGTAACTGTAGCTGCTTCCTATACTAACAATGGTGTCAATTCCGGCATGATTCTCTAAACCTAAACTTAAATTTGACGACAGTGTATCCTTGTCATTCTCAATACAGAATGAAAAGGACAGACTGATGTTAAATTTAACTTTAAGTTTAGAGAATAATGCCGGTATCGACACCGTATGATTACTTGTTTATTAGTTGTATGTTCTAAATTATGTAATGGCTGGTGACTTCATGAATTTTCTCTGAAGTTATTGTGCAACTTGGCGCCTCTGTATATAATAATACGAAAAAAAAGCGAAGATAGCGTAGCTTTTCGACCTTCCCAAATGCTTTCAACAGCCTAGACTGAATAAATGATTTAAGATTTTGATTAAAACACATTAAAGTACCTATGTATTGCGATCTTGCCAAAACATACAAATGTATATGAACTATTTTTAATATTATAGATGTATTTACACGACTGCTCAAAAATAAGTGTAATGTATTCAGGATTCATGTATGTATTATCAATTCTTTTTTTTTATATGTTTTTATGTGTTATCTTGTCACAAAATCTTTTTACGTCATCAAACTCTATGTACGCAAAGAGTGCGTCAATTGAACACCTTTAATGCGGAAAAGTGGGTAAGATAATCAAATTAGGGTACTTGAGTGCAATATAAAACCTATTTCATACTAAAATAACACTGCAGTGCCCGGCACGTAAGTTGAACCTAAAGGACACCCGGCATTTTGTGCCAAAGTTGTATACTTTTTTAATTTTTTTATCTGTGTTTCATAATTGGGTAACGGAGTCTGGCAATATTTGTCATCAGCAGCTAGATGACAATGTCAAATACGTAGGTTTGTCATCAAAAGGGTTTCTATATCAAAAAATATTAATCATTAAATAACTTCTTTCCACGATTCACTAAAAATAAGGCAAAAGTAGTTTTATGTAGCAAATAATTTTGGCTTTATTTTGAGACCAAATTCAACTGTATACAAGTTTAGCATTTTTTCTATGAAAAGTGCCGGGTCTCCTTTTAGTTTTCAGAGCATGTTTTTTCACAGAAAAACATCATAGCACTAAAGAATTATTAACAATACAATATCTAATGAAACATAGCAACCGTTTTGTTAAAAAAACATTGTTTTGTTTCGTTTTTAAGTCGAAAAACATGCGCTGAAAACTAAAATTTGGG